TCCCTCTATTGGCTGTGGTTTTGTAATTCTGCACCATCCAGCCTGATTTCCTGCCTCCCACAGTATCTCACCCCAGCGAGTTTCTCGTTTACATATACAACTTTAAAAAAGTGTATTTTCTTTTTTATTCTTACTAAAATTCATCTTTCAAGCAAGCTGAGAAAATTGACAGGAGAGAAATAATGTGACACTGTAGTTAGAAGACAAAACATTACTTTATCACTACTGAGGAAAACTGTCATTATACTAATTAGATTCACTAAATCAAAGCACAGGAAATTGCAAGATCAAGAAATACATTAGTAGACATTACCCAACAGCCGTACACATCAATTGGCTAAAACACTTGTACTTTAAAATATTCCTTTGCATAACCTTAAACCTGCAACAGTGGGAAGGCAAAACCAGAATCATTTCTAAAATCCAACCCTCGCGCCAACAGCAGAATTCACACACACATCGTTCTCCCTTCACCTGCCTACAACCACCACCTTTTTGCTTCTCTACAGTACTAAAGATTCAGCTGTTTTTCCTCTCCTGACACATCACAACTCCCAACTCCCACACATTCATACATATACATACATAAAATATCATCGATCTATTGACTGGCTGATTCCACATCAAGCCTGGATTCCTTACCCTCACCTTTCAATTCTAAACAGTCTGCCCCACCTACATCTTGGCTCACATTGTCTCCTGTCACATCTTCTTTTGTCCTCTGTCCCAATCGCAAATCCATGCTTTTTCCTCAGCTTCCTCGTCCTGTGTGCCAAGTCCCCTCCCTCTCCTTCAAAACCCTCCTCAAAACTCACTTCTTTTGGTTCGATTTCCGTCACTAATCTCAGCTCCGGCGCTATCTGCTCCCTCTCGCGCGCCTAATTATATCGAAGATAAAACAAAAAACATGAAACAGAAAAAGTAAGTTATCCAAATACTTCATATGTGCTCTCACAAGGGCAGTCTCAATATCCCCATCTTTTTTTATTTTCTCTCTGTACTACATTAGCCACATGTCTGTTTGTTTTCAATTAATTTGCACTTATCTGTAGTGCAGCCTAACCTATAGTCTCATTGCATTGAACCACACAAATATTTTCCTCTCTTTAAAAATTTTGCCTTTCCACCCTCACAGCTGAGTCTTATTAAAACACACTTCTGCTGCAACTCAAAAATAGTTTGTTACAGTGTTTACAATCTCTTCCTTTAAGACACGCTAAGCTCAAATCAAAGAATTAACTAGTCTATATCCCTCTTTCTCCATGTAATTCAAATTCTGCATGCTTAGCACACACCTTCCAAACAGATCTTGCATTTGTTAAATTTGCTAATGCACTAGAACTTGAAGTATCTTAAGCTTACACTCATCTCTTGAAATGTATTTTTTCTACGGAAACAGACAAAAAACCAAGACATAGGTTTAAATTAAGCATGAAGTGTTGGATCTGCCAACTCCACTATTTTTCAAATCAAGTTATACTCTTGGCATTTTTTTAAGCTTTACATAATTTTAGTAAATGTCTTCCTATAAAACAAATAATGTAAAAAAGCAAAAACATCCATTTGAGTTCTAGGCTTGGACAAAGGTCAGTTTCAGATAACTGATTTTCAAACAGAGTCTTAGATCACGTTTTTATTCTTAAATACCACAAAAATATTTTGAAAAACAAACATTTTACCATAGCATAATGATGTAGGAGATGTTGCAGAAAAAAATTATCTTTATCTTTGAAAGCTACAGAATTTCGTGCCTATCTCTAATTTTGCAAAATGAAATGCTAAGACTAGTATCAATTAGCATTACAGAAAGCATAATTGGTGCTGTTCTTGCTGCAACACAACTTAAAAATTCTAAATCCATCTCAGAAAGTGTAAATTTGGCCCCCTTATGCTTTCTCAAGACTTCATAGAAGCCACCTACATTCAGCCCCTGACATGCATGAGACTGACACCATAACTCTCAACTATTGAGAAAAATTAGAAATAATAGATGAGCTGGACTGCCACCAAGCATGTCTGGACATCAAAATGGTTGCTAAGAAATGGATTTTTTTTTTTAAGCTGAAAATGCCTGTGGCCCAAGAGTAGTAACTCAAGATTAGACACAACATAGCTCCCTAGAAAAAGCACAGGACAGAGTAAGGGACTTCTTCACATTGTCACAGAAGGGCTATTTCAGTTCAGTCACAACCACATTACCCAAGTTTGTCTTTTTATGAAGTAAAATGAAATAGTCTAGCTTCCTAACTTACTGTCATACTATGGATATCAGTTTAATCTCTTTAAGGAAATATAGCTTAAATACTGCAGTGTTGCCTGCACAAAGTTCCGGTGTTCTTTGCATAGATGATCAATCCTAGTATACAGCTACCTGTAACCTGGAGGCCAGGATATAGAAATGTTTTCAAGCCAATTCACTTAGCCATGTGCCCTTGTCACAATAGGGATGGTTACAACCGTAATTATGAAATAACTGAATTTTGTTTGCCAGGTTAGGAGCATTCTGAAGAAAACTGGGAGCAAATATGAACAGTTTTTTCACATTTCTTGTCCCAGCGTCTCAAATAGTTTCAGTGCAGTAATTTCTCATTAAGTATGAGAATACAGTTACCATGGAAGATAAATGCAATGGCATTTCCACTGAAAGCACGTAAGTTTTCAACGTTGCTTTTCTTTTGCAAGTGAAGATATGCCTATTAACTAAATCATGTCCTCTACTTCACAGCCTCCCTCAACTTCTACGAAGCATCTCTTCTTTAACAGCAACTGGACATTATCAGAGATAAACAAATATTTATCTGTCTGAATCCCCAAAAGTTCTGATACAGGGGAGAAAACCCCCACAGAACAGTCACATTAATAAGAACATGTGGGCAAAAAGCTACCACGGTAACAAACAAAAGAGATGGGGTGGGGAAGGGAAAAAAAAAAAAAAAAAAAATCAGCAGCACAGACTACTGACAAGCTAAAGCTTTTTCCTGAAAGGAGACCAGAGGAAAAAGACTCCGGATGCCCCTGGTTTTGTAAACTATGCAAGACAAAACTCTGGGAACAGATTAGTTGGCAATGGAGTGTACGGCAGCTAGACATTTCAGATAGAGGCAAGACTACTTGAGCAGCACACTCTGGGGCATCGTCCATAAAACTGGTGAAGCAAGGCAGTGCAGGACCTAGTACAAAGCCTGTAATCTAAAACTAGTTGCGCTAGATGACATTTTTACTATCTCAAGATACTAAAAAAATCTATATAAAACCTAATGAAGAGATACCTAAAGTATTCTTACCTGCCCTTTTGCATCCTCTGGCATAGATTTGATATGCATCCTCTTAAGACATCGAATAACACCGTCATAGAACTGTACTGTGAATGTTCCTAGAAGAGGATTAATGTAATCACTATGAGTAGTTAAGAAACAAACACACCTTGTTACTATGAAAGCTTTAGTAAAACATTTTGTAGGCTACATGAACAAAGTAACCAGGTGTTATCTACAGTCAGGATAGAGAATTTTAAGAAAAATAAATGACAGCCTCAATGAAGCCCTCCTTTTATATTGTTGCTGTTTGTCCACTTGAGCAATTTCAAGCATCTTTAAGCTACTGTGTCACTTTTGCTCATAATTAATTGAAAGAATTAAGTAATATTTAAGTTGCCACAATAGGGAAACAATTCCAAATCAAATCCTCATTTGCTTTAAACTACAGTAAAAACTTCAGTTTCTACTATGTTGATTAGAAATATCACCCCATTGTGAAAGACTGCATCTAAGTTGTTCCTTTATTTCCCCATTTCCATTGTTTCTTTTCAATAGAGTTTTAAAGAGACCTACCATTCCTAAAACAATTCCAAAAATTTAAATGTATCATTAGCCCAGATCAATAGTACAAAATATTCATAACACTGTGCACAGTATATTCTTCTCAGTGAGAAAACATTAAGCCATTTTGTCTTCCAGGAGAAATTCCAATTGTCTAATTTCACACAGATAAAAGATGAATCTCTTACTAAATTTGACAGAATAGAAACATTTTCACTTAATAGTGAGGTAGTGAGGAAAACCTTATATGCATGTCAATTTTTTAAGCAGACTACAGCTACAGCATAGCATAGGCAAACAGTCCTTACCAATGGGCCATACACGAATACATACCCTCTTTATTAATTGCTTCAATCTTTGCAGGGTAATAGCGACAGTCTGTCCAACGAGCTAGGACTTCTTCTCCAGGTTTAAAATCCTATTTTGTAGAAATTTAGTCATTAACATTTTAATCACTTAATTTTTTTCCTAAAAAGAATTAAACACTATGTGCTAGACAGACCTAATGTAGGAAAGCAAGTTGGACAGTTTACAAGAAAGAGTCAAAGACAAAATAAATGTGCCACTTACAACAAATTCTTCATCATCTTTCAGCCCTTCTTTCCTTAATGCTGGTCGCTCCAAAGGTCGCAACCTATTGCTGTCCCAGTAAATCCACTCATCGTAGCGATGACTCCAACGTTCAAAATGGACCAACATCTTCCCCTCTTCATAATCTATCTTCTCAATACGAGATGGATACCTTGAATGAGAAAGGTAAACTGATAAATCCCCAAGTTTTTTCAAGCATGTGGATTTTTTTTTGGATACAACAGTGCTTACATGACCATTCAGAAAGTTATACTAACACCTCGTACTGAGAAATCTCCAAGTCTGAAAAAGATGAAGTTACTAAATTGATAGTAGGATAACATTTAGTTTAAGAGTCATCTATACACATAAGTGACATGTCATCAACTTCATCCTAGTCAGATGATTATACGCAAATTTAAACCTCAAACCCCCAGATCAAGACTGCCTGAAACTGGCATTAGAAGCTTGTTCTTATCAGTTTTAAAACCTGTGTTTGTTTAAAGCAAAGTTTTTGTTTGCTTGGGGATGGGAAGGATATAAAATAGTTTTAAGAGTACATTCATTACTTTTATCATATGAAATGTTTCATCAAACTATACCATTGATTCCAGGCAAATCCAAGCAACTAATCAAACCCAGAAGTCAACAGAACTGCCATTAAATTTGATTCATAGTAACTATTTTTTAGCAGTCATCTCTCTAACTTCACACGCACTAAAATGTCAGTCTTAACATGTGGATTTTACTCTCAAACGCTGTATGTGCTCAGTACAACTAATCAGGACTGAGCTGCAACCAGACCAATCTTAGGCACCTAATTTTGGGTGTGGCATAGATTTAGTTTAGGAACCATAAAGTTTGAGATTACATTTTCAGGGAAAAATGGCAAATTTCTCTAACTTCAGCAATTATTATTCAGTCTTACTATTTCTGTTTCACCAAAGTGACATATTTCACAAAACCGTAGTAGGGGAGCAAGGCACAAACTGGTTTTGTCACACTACTTCCTCCACCAAAATTATTAGAACTCTTTATTTCCACTGTATGAAATGCAGAGAAAATTGGAATGAGACAGAACTCAGCTCCTTCTGCCCTTCATAAAAGTATTGAGACAGATTCAAAAGCACAAAGAATCTCCTAAGTTAATTAGATCATCAAATTTTCTCCAGAGTTTCCATTAGGGATGGTCTAATGTTAACAAATCATGTACTGAAAGGAAAGACCACAGCAAAAGACCAGCTGTCTTTCACTTGCATTAAAAGCTATCTGTTTTTCTAACAAAGTGCTACTGTGGAGCAATAGTAAGAGAGAAGAGCTTGAGCAGCCAATTTCCAGTCCTACTGCAAATTCCATCAGCTAGAAATGCAACAGACATATACAGGAACCCTGTCAACTTTTTCAATTTTGAATACTTTCTCTCCAAAATACTGACAGTGCTGATAAAGGAGTCTTTAACATTATGTTCTGATTAAAATATAAGTTCTCAGGAAGTACAGGCTTTCCTTCTTTCCTGGTGACTAGAACAGGGCTTTAAAACAAAAGGTGTCAATCTCAATTTGCTCCTTCATTTCTCCAGTCCTACTTCTTCAGCTGCAGTGATGCATACAGCTTCCCAACACCTAAATACCTCAGCAGTTGCTGAATGAGTAACCTAGAAAATCAGAGTTTTTCTACTGCAACTACTTCAGCCACTTTTCACCCCCATCTCAGAATACACAGACAGTCCAACTTCTTGTTGCATTTGTCTCATCCATACGTTTCAGAAATGCAAAATGTTTTCATAGCCATTCTTTATGTTCCCAACTTCTTCTCACTGAACTTTAAAAAACCAAACAAACAACATCTTAGTCTCAATCTGCGGACTCTCATTTGCCACTCTACTAACAAAATCTTTTTCAAGATAGAAGAACTCCTTGGGGCTTCTTTCAGAGGAGCAACAAAATCAACCTCCTTGCCCCTCTCAAGTAGACTGACAACAACAACCTAACAAGAAGAGTGAAACTGATGATATAATATATCAAAACAGAAAGTAAAACTCATAGGTCAAAACCTGAATCCCATTATCAGCATTCTCGTTTAACTTTGAACAAAGCTTCAAGAAAACAAAAACAGCCAACAGATAGTTTTCCTAAGCCCTGCCTTTGATGATGCCTTCTTCTTAAGTCTACATGCTGCTACGTTTAGGGATTTTATTATGAAATTTCTTGCTATTTTTTTCATCTTCCCTAGTGTTCCAATTTCAGACTTCCTACAACTAGACACCAAGTGTCAGAATAAGCAGGAAGAGTAGCAAAGCAGAGGAAAAATTAAAGTTACTGTTACTACATCAAACTTGTGAGTAACGATGTTACCTAAAAGAGTTCGAACAGAAGTAAAGGATGAGGCAGAAAGCATTTAACAGAGGGAAGGAACATCAGAAAAGCAAGAGGACAGGAAGTGCACTTTGTAGCAATCAAAAATGAGAGCTGGGGCACAAGCAGTGAAGCTGCAGTAAGTGAAATGGAAGGCAAGAACGATGGTGCTCTTTCTCACTACAATTGGAAACTTCGGGTTTATCACACACCAGCCAGGTAGTGATGCAAAACTACAGTTATTTTACAAAATTCAGGGACCATCAGACAAAAGACAGAATTCTCCTTTTCCTACGCATCTACAATGCAAATACCCTGGTTCCATTATGGCGCTACCCTATAGCAGTTCCCTTGCTACGTTTTTCTTGTTGTTATGGCTGGTAGCTTTCCCCTGGGCATCATCAGCAAAGTCACCATTCCAATCACGGTGTGTAGAAGACAACAGAAGGCATAAACTGGTAAAATACAGTATACTGTCCTGGAAAGAGAAAACTGAGTAAGAGGGGGAAGTAAAATACAGGGTATAGTTTAGAGACAAATGTATTAAAATGAAGAAAATTTTAAGGAAAATTCAGCAAGCCGAGAATCAAGGTGTTAATATATATGGAAAAAAACCCCAAAAGAGCAAAGCTAGCATCAGTTCATGAACAAAGATATGCAAAATATGAAGTCTCATTAGGGATCACTCAACAGAGGAAATGCAGCACCAGGTCTGTATTGGTTAATTTCTCTTAATAAATACACTTTCTGCTACCAAAGTTTTTTTAAAATGTCATTATCAGTTCTGAATCGAAGTCCACAATACTGGTTTTGCACAGTTAAATCTTATAATTTAGAGTAATAACCATATCATCACATAATGGCTTTATTCCAATAATTTATGTTTTTTCAGTGTATGTTAAGACAGTGGTTGCAAGATGAATAAAGCCAAAACCTGCATTCAACCCCAATCCTCAGAGATGGAAGATTTAGCAGATCTCTGAACAACCCAAGCTACATATGACTGGTTATTAGGCAACCCAAAAATAACTTTGTATGGATTTAGCAACAAGATATTACCCTCAATATCCATTAAATTTAGCCACACAATGTGCCACAAATATGTATAAACAGTAATATTTCACAATACCGATCCCACAGTGGAAAAGAGCAGAGCACATGTATTGCAGAATTGACTATTGCAAATTTTACACTGCACAAAAACATTTTTCTGGTGCTACAGTTCTTGTACTTTTACTGAAAATGATCAGTTTCATAAACTGCAAAATTATATGAATATTTCAAAGGCAAGTATGCGTTTCCTGCTAATAAAAGATAAAATGGCAACATAAATTTTTTAATCTGCCTTTTTAAAGAATTCTAGTAATAATGCATACAGGAAAGCTTTTACTATGGCTAAGAGCAATGTTTGTATTTATTCTGTAGAAAAAAGATTAATACGAAGATGGTTACATTTCATATACATCAGAAATTTTACGTAGAAGTTCCTTCCATCGCAGAGCTACAGTAGGCACTATGAAGAAGTACTACAAAGGGGAATACTAACATCACTCTTTACAGTACCAAAGTGTAATGATGTCTAAGGCCCAACAACCTTCCAATCAGGTTAATCCTCCCCGTTCGCCCCCAGCAAGTACTCCACACTAAGGCATCAGAATGAATTTGGTATACAAACACATTTGCCAACATTTGATCAGCACAAACGAGAAAAATACACTCTAAAAAACTGAGTAAAAAGTTTTTACTTTTCACAGAAAATAAATTTAAAAAACCTCCCAAAAAAACCCACCACAAAAAACTAGACCACCACACTCCAGTTCAATAATGAAAGTGTTCTTTTTATGGGAAGAAACAATAACCTGCAAGTTTTGAGTGTGTTTTTTTAATAGCATGGTGGAAATAGCATTTCATAATCTCAAATAAAGCCTCATCCAAATTTCAGGGGGTTTTGTTCTTGTTTTTTAAAGTGAGAACAGGAAAAACATTGTTAGCTGATGGTATCTGCCCAGTTTACACATTGCACGCTCTCCATTCTCAGGTTCCAGTGATTCCAGCCTGTAAGAATTACGCAACATTTTTGTAAAGCTGTAAAATTTAATATGGGTTACAAAATTTACACTATGAAGCACTGGTCAGACAACAATAATGCCCCAACGTTCACACAGGAAAAAATAATGGGAAACTTCCAGTTACCATTTCTTGACAGAGTTAAAAAAATACCCATTTTCTCCAATGCACTTAACACACATTAATGGCCATAGAGACAGTATTTTTCATTTTGACATCATGATCTTGCTTTTGAGCCTTCAAAAGTGACCAACAAATGGTGAATTGCCCTGGGAGATGGGACAACAGTTATTTCACACTGTAAAAATGGATGCAAAAACTTTAGAAGATTTCCCCAAGTTTGCACCTACAAAGCCTAGAAACAAACACATACTTCCTGCCTTTACAATTATTGTATAAAAACTCTTTCCTTCTACCTCGTAGAGGATATAAAACCAAATACCCTCCATTCTGATTTCTCCACAAATAGCCTTCTGGCATCTGCAAAATCTGCAAATACCTATTTGAGTCTCCATCCCTAGAGGTATTTAAAGAACGGATAGATGTGGTGCTCGAGGACATGGTATAGATGGACTTGGCAGTGATAGGTTAACGGTTGGACTCGATGATCTTAAGGGTTTTTTCCAACCTTGACGATTCTATGATTCTATTTCTAAGTCCTCACCTTTTATTACCAATGCTGTATTATATTAATATAAAGCACAGTCTTCACAGTCCTTTCAAATACCTGGCTGTCAAGTAACCCAGTCAACTGAAATCCAAAGCAAGGACTATACAAAATAAGATTTCCCAAAGTCTTACAGGGAAAAAACTTCCTCCATACTGAAAAAAAATTAAAAAAAAATCCATCCAGATAATCAAATACACCAAGTCAAAGTGCTGCTGTTCTGATAACTAACCTATTTTAGTGAGCTGTTGCCATTCCAGAACTGCAACGAGGGCCATGTATCTGTACTTCCTTCATTACTTAACTTAGAGCTTAGATCAAGCAGATTAATAAAGACTATGGTCTCAGAAATAACAGGGTTGGTTTTTTAAAAAAAATCTGGCACTTACAGGACAACTAGTAGAGAGCTAGAGCCACAAAAGAAGAGATGCATCTTGAAACACATCAGCTTTGCAGAGACTGTGTCATACTTGTGGGAGCTAACAGCTTAAGAACCAGTCTTACACATGGGCACGTACTTGCAGATACGTGCAGTTTTACGGCTGTTACATTTGTTTTGTCAGTGAGAGGCATGGGGGGGGATGTTTTGTTTTGTAAGTGGGGGGCATGGGGGGGGGGGTGCAGGTGTATTAGTTTTGGTATGAGATCATAGGATAATTCAACTTGGAAGGGACCTCAGAAAGCCTCTGGTCCAACCGCCCACTCAAACCAGGGTCAGCAACGAGATCAGACCAGGTTTTCCAGAGTTTTACCCAGCCCAGTCTTGAAAACCTCCAATGTTGGAGACTCCACAAACTCTTTGGGCAACTTGATTCACTACTTGACTGTCCCATGGGGAAAAACATTCTCCTTTTACCTAGCCTGAATCTCTCATTTCAACTTGTGCCTGTTGTCTCTTGTTCTCCAACCATGCACTTACTGTGGAGAGCTCGGCTGAGTTTTGTTGATGACATCCCTGTAGGTATTGGAAGGCTGCTCGTGGGTTTCCTGAGGCCTTCTCCAAGCTAAACATGTCCAGTTTCCTCACGCTCTCCTCACAGGTTACACTCCAGGCCTCAGATCATCTCGTATATATTTAATAATTTTCTATTGTCAATCCCATCTTGTTTACTATCTGCTGACAGGTGATCACATTGATTTTGATTAGAGCTGCATTTCATAGTTTGCTTTAGTGAATTTAAATTTAACAAGTGGTACAAATTCATTATCTAAGATGACCTCCCCTGCAACAGTATACGGTTGCCCTTGATAAAGAAGCAATTGCAGTTACCTCCACAATAAAGCAAAAATAAACACGCTCATTGACAGCCTGTCTTTGCTGATCAATTTGACCAGGCTTTCTTCTACTCAGTAATCATACATGCCAAATGATACCAGTGACCCAAACACCGTCTGCAAAAACTTCCTCATTTAAAAGTACAGGGGTTTTAAGCAACAAATAGTCAAGGTACACAACACCCTCTTTAAAGTTTACAGAATTCAAACAGAATGCCAGATTCCATGAGATGAATTTCAGCAACTACTACACAGATGAAAATTTAAGACCTGCAGAAGTGCCTCAGAAAGCAAAAAAATCACACTTTACAGTATTTTTTCCCACCCTCAAGAAGCCTTTCTTGATTAACATTTTAACTGGTCATGAATACTGGATCTTTAAATGACAGCATTCTTTCAAAAAAAAAAAAAATTAAGACCCTTTCAAAGGCTATTTTTCAGTAAGTGTTCTCAATTTGTCACTTGTAGAAAGACTGAGATAAGCAATACTACTGCTCTTCAATTTTTGTTTTCTTAAAAAATATAAAGAGCTTTCATGTAAGTTCAGCAACTTTATTTTCTCTGAAGTAAGTATTTCTGCATGCAGATGAGGGGATTGCATACAGTTTATACATAGAAAGAATTTAAAAAACATCCACCACCCCCTTATGCAACAGAAAGCTAAATAAAAAAAAAATCACATGGACTATTATTCCAGCCCATGTCACCCTAATAATAACACGGCAGTAGGCTTTCTCTAACAAGCTCTTATGTACATGAATATTATTTCATTTAAGAGTCCTGTTTTCAGTGTTGCTGTAACCGCAAAATTTTAATAGTAGCTTTCTGCTCCTGTATATGGCACCACAAAAGTTTACATGCATATAAACTTGACCTGTTGTACCTGGTGGTCCACAGGATGAATCAATTCCTAGAAAGTTCAGGATAAACTCTGTTCTTCCTGAAAATACCAAGCAACTCAACTGCAGAGCTTGTGACAGGGCCCACGCCTGACAAGGTCAAACCTAGACAAGTACTCCAGAACCGACACGCAACCCTTCCCTGTGAAAAGGCTAGGCAGATCTGATACAAACCGTACACTGGATATTCAGTGACCTTTTTTTTTTTTGGTACAATTAAGCTGAAGCTATGTTTACATATTAACTTTTGTTATCTAGTTAAATTAACCAATTATCTCTAGTCAGAGAAGATGCTATAAAAAGTTCTATTAAAATTATTTTATTTTTATAGCACTCTTCAGGCAGTTTCATGTTCTTGGTGTTCAGTTACAGAACCAGTATATTAAAAACCCACTCGACAGCAACAGATAAGAACAAGGACTGTTCTGTAAACTGTATTTTCCTTTACAGGCTGTTTATTAAAACAAACACTTTTGCTATAATTAAAATCAAAGCTCTACAGATAAAAAAGTTTAACCCAACTTTTTACAGAGAGCATATAACTACTGGAGTAAACATGTAAATAATATACAGACTTCTCTATCACACAACTTGGCGTTAGCAGGATCAAATATTTACATGAACAAGCTTAGCTCTCCAGGAATGCAACAGAAAAGCAGGTACAGGCCTCTACATTTCCTAACCCTAATTAATCAGAAAGCAGCTAAGAAAAAACTTCTGGGTAGAAGCATCAACTTCCTGTGTCATCTACTTTAACAAAACCAGGGATTTTTCAAACTGAAATTGCATGGCCACCATACATCATGAAATTAGCCCACTTGCATTAATAAAATTTTGACTAACAATTTATTTCAAAAGAACAACAACTTTCACAACACACATGCTGTGTAGCGTGGTCCTTGGGCCCACAGATTTCCATTTTATAGTCTTGACTCTTACTCAAGATATGACTGGGTGGTGCAGAGTCACAGTTTTAAGCACTTCGTTCCTCCAACTGTTTGATGCAACCACAATCGTACTTACCTATTCCATGAACTCCGATTAAGTATGTTTTCTTTTTTTAAAATCAGTTTCGTGAACCTATGAAGTATGATAACTGAACGCAAAACAAATTCACGTGCATGCCTTCAAACTAAAACAAAGGAAGACTTTAGTCACAGAAGTTTGCGACGTTAACACACCGATCGCCTCGCACATGACGCTGCATTCCACGCTACTCTGGAAATGCTCTTTGCTTACTGTGGCTGCACAAGCAACTAAAAGCAAACAAACAAAAACCCGTAGAAAAGCTTAGTTTGATTTTTGAAAAGAGATTATTTTCCTAAAAGCTAGCAGTTTTAACACTTATTATGTGGAAATTCATAAACTTCACAGGTGAAACAGTCAATTAATAGATGCACTAAGTTTTATAATTAAGACATCAAAATATAGAATATACAGAAAATAATTTTGCTCTTAGCAAATACTGCACAATGTCTTCCATACCATTTTTGTAAATAGTCCAGTGCCTCCAAACGAGCACCAATCTCAAATGTGATTCCAGGACGATTTGGAGGCTTTTTACTCATCTTGATATTTTCTTTTTCACTACCTTTGGAGAAAAAAAAAAAAAAAAGTCATATTAAAACACATAACATTGTCTAAAAGGTGTCACTGACAGCAAATATATTCCAGAGGGTGGAGAAAGATGTGAAATTTCTATCCTGACTTTCCATTAACTGCTTAGTTTTCAGAAGTATAGTCAAGGCCCAAAGAAGGCATTAAAAAAAATGCACGTACTTTTATTCTGATTTCTTTCCCTCCCCCACCCCCCCCAAAAAACCCCTCCAGTCATCAACCTTAAGTCAAAAAATAAAAAAAAAAAAATCTGGTGCTCATCTCTGCAACTGTCCTACACTGTAATTCCTTGACATCCCTTTGGAGCATAATTTTAAGAGTTACCTAGAGTCAATGCGTGTTCTGTCCTCTGCTGTGGAAAAGGTCAAAACCAAGAAAAACGCACCTTACCAAGAACAGAAATTTAAAGATAAACATGGCTTAAAGGACAAGTAAGATGAAATTAGCAAAAACAAAAATAAACAAACAAAAAAGCCATCTTCAGCCTTTCTATGCACGCTCGAGTCTCACCCATAGCACTAAGTTTCATTCACAGGTGCCTTTTAACGGTTGTCTGGTAATCCAGTCAGCATTAAAAAATCACTTCTCTGACCGACTACTTTCGCGACAATCGTGACTTTCTGCTGTACTACCTTTCTCGTCCCGAGGCACAGAGGGGCTTGCCGTTGGGGCCGCAGGCTCCGGCTGCACGCCCGCCGAAAAGCAGGGGTGCCAGGCCGCAGGGCCAGAGCCTCCGCGATCCGGACCGCCGGAGGAGCGGCGTCCGCACCCCAGCTTCCAAGCGGGGCTCCCCTGCCGACGCCGGGAGCGCGATCGGGGGCAGCTGCCTGCGAGGCGGCGGCCGACC